CTAATTACGCAGTCATATGACACCAAAAACAAGCGGTGAATATGACTAACAATTAAGACATTCAGAGTATATATACTTTTTTCAAATTCTCATGATTGGCTTGAGATTTCATATGCATATATAGATACATGCATAGATATATACATATATCATAAGTTACTAGTTTGGGCACTCTGGCATGACTTAGATAATACCACGAATGTGGAATCATTTGGGGTTGCTGTATGGCTTTACCTCCAGCCTAGAATCAGCACTGCATATATATATATATATATATATATATATAGGAAGTCTGCAAGTCGATTTTCGCGTGGAACAGTGCTCAATACGTTGAAGCAGAGCAGAATAAATATTATGAGAGGAAAAAAGGACGTAACTACATTTCCCGACAAGCCTGTTTCGTGAATCGCTTCACTCTTCAGGGGTTTAATGAAAGAATATTCATGTGACTATCGTTTATATACTAGGAAAATTTGCATAATGCGCGGTAAACTTAAAAACTTTAAAGTTCAGTTGTTGCGTAGCAACGCTTTGTTTCTGTGTCGGCATGAAGATACGAGTTCGTTACGCTTATTTAGTGATGAGAGGTCGGGTCGGTAAATTATCAGGAATTTTTCTTTTAGGCAGAAATTAGGCAGGAATTTTTCTTTTATCGCAAGTCGTTAATGGAACTCTCAAGCCAACAAAGGTGCACCGCGCCAAGAGGATCAATAAGGATTCGCAGTCCAAACCTCACAGCCAACACAACGTAGAAAGTATAAAAAATTGCGAGGATGGACAACTTCTGACGTAAAAAATAAAAAAAATTTTAATAAAAAACGATTCGGTCAGAGACCTTCTTCAGTTATTTACCTGTGAATAAGGTAAGAAGAAGGTCTCTGACCGAAACGTTTTTTATTAAAATTTTTATATTTTTTACGTCAGAAGTTGTCCATCTTCGCAATTTTTTTAACTTTCTATATATATAATTATATATATATATAGATAAATTACCTACGTTAAATAAATTTTGTTTACGTGGTGTCCATTGTTGACATGTAAGCACTCGTAAAAATACTCAGCGATACTTCGCAACAAAACGTCTAATGAGATATATATATATATATAAATATATTACCTACGTTAAATAAGTTTTGTTTACGTGGTGTCCATTTTTGACATGTAAGCATCAAATGTAAGAGGTCACAAGTATACACAACATAACTTTTTTTTTGTATCTTTAGTTTATTGCTTGACTCTACTACTGTACAGTGATTTGTCGTGCATAAAAAATGGTACCTGTTCGCATGCTTGCATGGGGTTTTTCAAATGAATGAACATTTAGGCAAATTGAATCAACCAGTGCTTTGGGGAAAAAAAAACTCAAACTGGGTATGAATTGTCTGAATTTGAGTTCAAATCTACTTGGTACGAAATGACCATAAGTACAAATGGCTGGATATTATCAAACAATACAAAAAAGCAAGGTTTGGAGTGTCTCACCTTCAGCAGATACGAGTACTGTGATCCCTTCATTGTCAAATTGAAAAAGTCTTTATTGTGCCAAGTTTTATTGGCCAAAGGATTAAGGTCAAACACATAACCAGCATTTTTGTCTTCAACCCTGCAGTCTTCGCCTGTATTCAAACCCAGTGAACAAGCCGCAGCTGGAAATATCGTGGGAAAGACAAAAAAACAATAAACTATTAGTAGCTATATTCAAATCATTGTTAATTAGAAATTAAGCTACATAATTATATAAACAACATAACATCAGCACATATATTCTCCATACTATTCTCAACACATTTTCTAAGATACAGACAAGGAGAATTTATTTTTCAATCAACAGCTTGTGTGATTGAAGATCATTTTCAGTTTTCTCACGATTTAGATGTTTGATCTAGGTGTGGCATTACATGCTGATGCTGGTCTAAGAAGTTAAAGGGTTCATACCTATTATTATTATCCAGCTGCATGAATCAGAGTAAAAATAATGGCCAAATAGTGAACAAATATCCTGAAATATTGTACATATATCTTATCAACCAAGCGAGAGGGCTGTACTGGGAGAATATAGGCCCGAGGTCTTGACAGTACGGACCTCGCTGTGCTTGGTCCGTACAAAAAAGACCGAGGGCCGATATTCTTCCAGTACGGTCCCGAGCAAGCTTGGTTGATAAGAGATTTATTATACGACTGAAGTTCAAAGGGACACAAGAGCGGTATCATTTGGGACCATTCAGGACAGTGCCTGGTCCAATACTTAGAGAATATTGACCGGCAATAGAGCATTTTGATTGGTTGATTTTAGTTATTGGCCCTCTGACTGCCCGAGTCGTGTAATAAAGTTGGTTATTTCGTACTGTAAAATGACCTGTTTAACCAGTCAGCTGTGCGTAGTATGCTTCTCTATCCACTTTGCTTTTTCTACCTTATGAGTACAGAGCAGAACCACTTGGCAGAAAAAAAAAAAAGCAGTTACTAAATAAATAACTTATGGACATTTTGATGTATAGTATTGCTGAGTATTTTTAATTGCTGTTTATATTTTGACTCACCCACAACATATAAAAATACTCGGCCATACTACACACCAAAACATCTACCAAAGATAAATGTAACGGTCTCTTTCTTTTTACACTTTCTATTAAATCAATAAAAACAATTACAACTAAAGGACCAAAAAATACTACCCCTAAATGCACATGTACCTGTTCTCCACATGAACTCATAATAGCAGTTGTCTAATGAATGTGTGACCAGAACTGGGGGACTTGACAAATCTCCTGTTTGACACACAAATGTTACTGTGGATCTTATAAATACACTCTTTCCTGAATTGTCCTTCTTGCATTCACTACCCCGAAGATAAACCAACTTGATAGAATTGTCTGGATTTAAAGTCGGTGGATCTATGTATCTTCCAAGACTTGCTACTTTTCCATTGCTTTGATCAATCATACAAATAGCTGCCGAACTATCACACTGTTTGGCATCAGGATTACCAGTAACCTGACCACAAACATTCATCAAAATTTTTTTATTAGAACTGCTACTCTCTCCATCCACAGCAATCCAATTAGTGGAATTTTCCATGCGCACAAGCTCAGAAAGGTCATAGCGCACACCCAAAGGACTCACAACACGACACTGAGTTCCTGTGCGACGGCTAGGTGCACATGCATATCTTGTTTTCCAGTCAAAGTAGTAAAAACAGTAGCTCTCACTGTTAAAAACAGGTCCCGTGCCTATCTTAGCATGAGGGTCACATGAAAACATTATAATGGTTGTTCGATTGAGCCCATTTCGACATGTGGACCCATGCTCATAGGTTAAAGACAGCTGTCCATCAGCATAACGTAAGGTTTGATTTGATATAATTCCAAGTGACCAACGCACACTTCCATCTTTCACTTCCTGGCAAACTGTTGAATTTGATCCTAACTTATCTACCAGAAAAAAAAAATACAACTTTATAAATTTCAGTGTCTCAACACAGTTGAATATTACTAGCTGTCACTCTGATCATAAAATGTTAATTATCACTTCAAAATATGAATTCAGAAATGGTTATAGCATTCATACACACATACATGCATACCAAAGGAGCATTAAGCAAAAGTTTTAAGCAGGGACACATGCTTTCTGCCTAAAAAAAGCAAGCAGTCTCTCTGTTAACAGTGAAAAAAGTAACTTCAGAATAGTCTCAGCTAAGTTACATCCAGTTTCAAATGAAAATCTCTAAAAAGTTATATGACAAAGCCTTTTAAAACATAAGATAACTTTGATTCCTTTCTGGCCCATTTAATTTGCTACAGTGTACACTTCGCCTAGCTTTATTATATGTATATACAACATATTAGGCACTTAAGCAAGACAACCCTATCTTTCAAACAAAGTGCAACCTGCTGCAACTGCCTACTGTTGTATAGTTGTAGAGTATTGCAGTAAAAAAAGGCAATGTTGTGTTAAATGCAAGAGGGGTTAATGAACAACTTTTGTCAATGCCAAAATTATGACAAAAGGAGGACTTGGTTAGGGCAGAATTTGGACAATGGTTAATTGACAGGCCAGGGTTACAGCAAGAAATTAATAGAATTGGTACTTGCATTAAATGTACAATTTCAATAGAAAACTTCATCACTTCGTATGCTCTGTACCTGGTGTTATGGATAAACCTACTCCTCCCAAGTTCAAATGTACAATGTTCAAGCCCTGGCCACACCAAACTTTTTTTTCTCTTTTTCCTTTATTCTCTCCTTTTTTTTCCCATTTCAATTTCAATTCTTTGTCAAAGGATATGTTAGAAATGTTCACAGTAAATGCACATGTATGAACATTGTCCAGGATGAGTCACAAGAGATGTTACAATTGTCTCAAGATAGGCCGCAATTTTGAAAACCATGAGGGGCTTTATGGAAGGTTTAGGGACTTACACAGCACCATAACTTAGTACCTTTGGCCTTCCTAGAAGGAAGGCACAATAGATTTAAAATATTCAAAATCATTCTCCTCCAAAATCTTTCTGTCATTTTGTCCCGGCCCTCTAGTACATCCAAGAAACAAACCTTCACAAGTAAAGCTCAGTGGATGGCAAACATTTATATAATATATGTACTGAGTTGTGTCGCCAGCTTTAGTTGTATCATTATGATAAACTCTGTAGTCATCCCGAATAGCGGCAGTGAGCTTCGTCAAATTGAAGTGGACAAACTCATTGCTCAGGACACAACTGTTGGTTTCCATAACACTGTGCTTGGGGCATGCATAGTCTGTTTCCCAAAGGACCTCAAATGCACAATAACGAGCTCCTATCAAAACTGGACCTCTAACACCCTGGAAATGAAATATACAGCACCACTCATTAGTTAGAAAATAGCGTTGACTCAAAACTCAATCCACAAGTCTCAAGTTTCAAGGTTAAGTGCATACATTAAGTCATGTACCTTAATTCTTCAAGATTACTTGATATAATAGAAAATGGTACTTAGCATATCAACGTTAACTTTCCATTTTCTACATGTATACTCTTGATGTGAAAGAAATGCCCCAAAAAATGTCTAAAACTTAAGTGATAGCACAAGGTCCAGCCATTTGCTTCTAGAAGTACTGTATATATGTATAAACAATTTATCTGTAAGCCTTTTAACTCCCATAAGTGATTATCATGTAACATCTTACTATAATATCCGTACATTATCATGTAACATCTTACTATAATATCCGTACATTATCATGTAACATCTTACTATAATATCCGTACATTATCCATCAAACAGGTAATGAGAATACCCAAACTTCTCAAGAACTGTAGAAGCTATCTTGATCTAACACAAAATTCTTCCAATCTTCAACAACAAAACATGTAGCACCTAGAGGGGAGAATTAAAGATCAGTTAATGAGAGTTAAAAAGTTAATGCTTGCTTACCGTATTCTTGCCTGGGCACCTGAAGGTGATAGTGGTGACAGGATTCATGTGTTTTGGGCAGCCACTCACAGTTACTGTTGTGTTGTAAACAAGGACAACGTCACCGTTGTGGAATCTAAGGTTACTTGCATATGAAATACTTCCAACATCATCAGCTTTAAGAAGGTTTTTATTAAATCTACACATAGAACTGTTAGCTTTACAACCAATTTTATCATCTTTCTGGGGTGTTATTCCTCTACAAACATTGATGTAAAAAGCAAATGTTGGATCTGAAGATGAAACCTCATGGCCACCTGTAAAAACCCAAATCAAAAACTTCATCAATATAATAAAATTAAATATTCAATTAAATGCCCCTGCTGGGTTAACCTCTAACTCCCAGAATTGATCAACATTTACCTTCACCTAATATCCAAACATTATCCAGCAAGCAGGTGATAAGAATACTAAATCTTGTAATGTACATACTCTAGACAATATTACATGGCTGCTTGGGGATACAAATTTTATCTTCTCATTCTGTAAGTATCTCTCACTCATTCCCTTCACTCACGCGTGAGATATACTTTCAGCATGAGAAGATAAAATTCCAATCCCCAAGTGGTCATGTAAAGTTCTGTTTATCTTCTAGATACTGATGAAAATAATTTCAAAAGAACCAGCCGCATGCCTGAGTGGGAACCTTTCTTGTAATTGGCTAATCATGTTAGCAACCATGGCAACACCAAAATTCTCACACGTGAATGATAAAAATAGTATCTTCACTGCCCACAATGAAGATAAGATTTTTTAGTAATAAAAAGGAAAGATCCTGGTATTTCATCAGTATCTATATAATAAAAGTCATTAACAAGATCTAACACCATATGCTCAACTCATTTACAAGGAAAAGTGTAACAGCTGCAAGAGGGAATTAAAAAGGCATCCTTGCTTGTAGTTTGCATGTGGAAACAGAATTTACAAATTAAAGGAATTTAAGGTGTGTATATACACAAAAGAAAAACTGGAGTTGGTAAAAGACTAGGCATGCTGTTTAAATTTTGTACTCAATTCTAGAGGGAATTAATGATTGCCTTGAAAAGTAAAGGTTGATTGCCAAAAATACTCAAGACAGCCACTTCCTGAATATAGACTGCTCTCATACTTGAGAAATATCCAAACCCAGCAGTGCATGCCCACTTGAATGGCAGAGAGAATAGGTAACTATCACACTGAGGCTCACAAAGGAAAAAGAGCAGGGAAATGGGAGGGGGAGGATTATAGCCTTTAAAAGCCCCATTACTCAAGAAAAATTAATGCCAATATTCCTAATATCTTTACTAGCCACTAATTAAAAGGAAAAACAAGTAATTCTTAACCTTTTAAAAGCCAAACAGTGAATACAATCTAGTTTCTCCTCATAATATCAACCCCTAAATCAAACATTTAAGTCATAACATAAACCGAAATGATCACCAACTAAAGGAGCTCTTGAATGTTCCACAAATTCTCCTTGTCAGTACTTTAGGAAATATATGGAAAACAGTATGGAGAATATGCAAACTGATGTAAGGGGATTGACTCATGACCTCTAAAAACTGACTGAAAACGTAAGATTGGTCTTCCTAATCGCTCACTCTGAATAAAACATATCAATAATTAAAAATAATGTTACCTTGTGTTTTGATCAAAGGTGTTAGATCTATTAGTTCATTTTTTGATCCATACACTGAGCAGGGAATTTCTGGTCCAGGTTTGTTTGTACAAGCCTCATTAGTAACAAACTCAAAAACAGCCACACACTTCTCTTTTCCCACAAAGACATCCACAAACTTTGGAGACCCCTAGAAATTTTAACAAAAGCAATACATTATGGATACACTATTTTTGTAAAAACATCCTTTTAATTCCCCACCAAATTTAAATCTTTGTTATCAGCAAGTTATACAGTTCTCAATGCAGCAATGAGCTGTTTTAAAAATCTCCCATCAATTGGCAACATCTCTGCTACAGGTTCTAGGCCCTAATATCTTGTCCAGCACAAAATGACAGGTTCAAGAATAAAAAAAGAGGTTTCTAAAGATAAATTAGACAAAATAATTTGGTCTTATCACTTAAGCTGATAATGTAAGCTGGCCTCCACAAGGACTTTCTAAAATTGACATTCAGGCATTCAGGCCCTTTTTCAAAGTGAAGGTTCAGCAAGTAATGGTGATAAGCTTAGGACAATTATCAGCCGAGAGAAAATATCTCAATATAGGGCTATTTCATTTTATTCTCAAATTAAACATGAGAGGAAATCTAATTAAGACAATGATCACTAACACTATGAAAACAATTATCATCACAATGATAACTACAAGGACAGTGACAAAGAATGATAATTATTATACTTATCATATTTATAATTTGGACAATGATGGTGATAATGATAATGACTTTTAATTTTTACAACTATTTAATTGCCAAATCCAAAGTGAATATAGCTGAATAATCCCCAATATGGAGTCGAGGGTATTACGTATTACTCAACAATAGTCAGTCTGAGGTGAATAACAATTTTAGTGTAATTGCTCAGCTGCCTTTGAATTCTATCCTAAATTTTTTTTTTAATACCATTCTCTTAAAATTGTTATGATTACTCATATTGAGATAAACAGTCAGTTGCCATTAGAATGTAACAGGTTTATTAAATTCAATCAGCAAAAACTTCATTTTTTCTTTTGAAAAGAGGTATCAAACTTAGTAGCAACTTTTGTGTTCTTCAGAATAGAACTTTGTTCAATAGCATTTAATGGTAACCAGTCAAGTTGACCAAGAGTCATCTCACCTTAAGTCATATTGCCTGAACTTGAGTCATGTTACCCAAAATTTTAGTCATGTTGCCAGAAAAAAAAGGTCAAGAGGCCCAAAGAAACAAATACCTAAAAGATCAGACTTACAGACTGTAAATAGGCAAAAAAGTTGAGAAATCTTTATCATTAAACCACTCTTTGTTTCAATACCATGAAGATTCTAAAAGTGCAGCTAAAATTCTGGGCAACATGAACCAGGTTCCAGGCAACATGATTTTGGTGGAGATCAGACTCTCAGGTGACTTGACCATAAACCTGTTTAACACCTCTTGTCTAGCATTGACAAAATGCGAGGTAGCCACTTCCACTCCTGCTATCATCACCTCACACTAGTTGATTATGATGGGATACGATGCAATCCTTAACCAATCAGAGCACATGCATATCTATAATCACTGGAGCAAATGTACTAAATGATAATGAGAAAAATGGTGGTGATGATGATAATGGTGTGATAACGCTAGCAGCCTTACAACACATAATGTATCTTTAGAACTGCCCTTTTAAACCCAACACAAAATTACATGGTCAGGATGAACTGATTCTCAGCAAAGCCATGAATTCTTTTGTCCAACAAATACAACAATTCTTAAATCTAATACATGTACTTGCCAGAGTCTTCCCACATCTCATAAAGATGTTGGTTTCCCATGCCTTATTATTTCCCATCTCGTTGCATTCTTTACCAGGAAAAATCAAATCAAACCCAGAATCTCTTATTGCATTTATCTGCAGGGATTTATATGTGCCTAATTCCTCCGGTCTCTTATCATCCAGTGACGTCGAGCACACGGCAGCCCCATTAGGACAACTTCTATGATTGATGTCTCCACAGACATTGATGTAATATTGTTTATTGCTTTCAGTGATCCTCCAGGTCCTAAAATTAAAAAAAAATACAGAGGGCAGAACAAAATTAAGATGATAGTGTAAGGTTTACATCAAAACGGTTACGGAAGTTGCTGAGTTTCGATCCTTAAAAGATCTTCAGGTGTGTGATTCTTGAGCAGCCCTTAAAAAAAGAAATTCCTTACCAATTTGAAATAAAGTACTTCGGTTTGTCTTTCGGAATCGGACATTTAGTCGGAATTTTTGCGTGTGAGTGGGGCCCATATAATAAAAATAAACAAGCTAAAAGTTGAAAGACTCTCCACTCGGCCGCCATCTTGCCAGCTAAGTCATGCGCAATGCGCTGAGATTACTCAGGAAACCTGACTCTCATGTGATCATCACGCGAACGCAAGGCAAGCGTGACCTAACAGTTAAATTCAAGAAACGCAGTCAAAAACGACAAAAAAGATACAACACACGCACACACACAAAAAAAAAATTAAAGTCACTGCGTACTTAGGGTGATAATGAATTGATACTGGAAATTAAGTAAATCAGCCACTTGTTGAGTGGCTGATAGATGACGTTAAACATCAAATCGATCCCCAACAGTTCGGCAGCCAGTTTTTTCCCAGCAATGGCGAAAATTAACTAATCATAAGGTCTAGTTATCTCTATTATAGTATTTTATTTCCCTCTGAATTGTAAATTATTTATAATAGCCTGTAATCCCAGTCCCTCAAAAACAAGTGTAATTTTATCTATTCCCGTAACATATATGTAAACACACTGTAGTTCATAATTTTCCCTTTGGGAATTTCAGACCACAATATGGTACACGCAACGATGAAGTTAAAGAATAAAAGGCCACCACCGAAGTACATCAAAACAAGAGATTACAAGAAACTCGACATTAAAAAATTTCAGGCGGACGTTGAATCCGCGCCTTTCCATATAGCGTCAGTCTTCGAAGAGCCAGATGATATCTTATGGGCATGGCAAACCTTGTTTAAAGAAATTTGTGACGAACATGTCGCCCAGAAAGAAGTTAAGATAAGAAGTAAATCGGCTCCTTGGATAACTAACGAAATCCGCTACAAGATCAATAAAAGATACAAGATTTTGAAAGCAGCAGTCAGCACAAAATGCCCTGAATTGTGGTCAAAATACAAGAAAGCTAGAAATGCAGTCAGCTTTGCGAAGAGCTAAAGCATCCTATTTCTACGGTGGCCCAGAAGGCTCAACGCAAACAAAAAAGAGGAAGAATGCAGTACACTGTGATTAATGGAGTCAAATCTGACATGTTACCAGTAACAAATGGTATACCACAGGGATCTGTTTTAGGCCCTATTTTGTTCACTTTGTTCACTAATGATCTGCCCGCCGCCATTACCACGGGATCCCTGTTCATGTACGCGGACGATACGTCAATTTTCAGCATCGGAGAGTCTGCAGACGCAGCGATTGCCTCCTTGAACTGTGCTTTGCAAGAGGTGTACAGGTGGTGCCTATAGAATCGCTTAACACCTCACCCGGCTAAGAGCGAAGTCATGTTAATTAGTACACCAACCATTATAGGACCGCTACCTCCAATATTTTTGGGTAAATCTGTTTTAGGCTATGTCAAAAGATCGCGTCTTCTTGGAATGATTGTAGATGACAAGCTTACCTGGATACCGCATATGCTAGAACTAAAGAAAAACTTTGCGAACAAAATAAACCTATTGAAGCGCTAGAGGTTCTTGCCCAAAAATGTCCTTTTAAATTTTTATTTTAGTGTAATATTACCTTCTGTGAAGTATGGTATTATATTATGGGGTTCGTGTGCAAATTCGGATCTCCTGTACTCAATTGAGGAACTTCACTATAGAGCAGCAAAAATTGTCTACAACTTATCCAAAGATACGGAATCTAATGTAGCTCTCGACGTTTCAGGATGGGATACGATCAATTTAAAATACAAATTTCAAACAGTTAATCTTTTTTATAGAGCAAGTAAAGTCTCACTACCTCAGTCTCTAATTAATAGCATATTCATAAGGCGGGTATGTAGCTATTCACTAAGAGACCAAGAAGCAATAACCACACCTAGATTTAACACTAGATTGTTAAAGGACTCTTTAGCATATAGAGGTTCGGTGCTATGGAACTATGTTATCCATCATGTCAAAAATGTAGGTAGTTTCGCCCTTAAGAATCTCAGGAGGCTACTCAGGAGAAACAATCACTTCACAAGCTTTACTTTTACTAGTTTATCAGGTTCGACGGCTAAGAATAGGTTAACTTATTACAAGTATTTTTAAGTTGAGAAGAAATTGAAAGTTTTATTGTATTATAGTTTCTTATTTAGTTTGAAATGTGTCTTAGTATAATCATAAGGTGGCTAGATACAATTTTGTTAAGTACACGACCCCACAAGCTTTTTAGCTTTAATTCTTATCGTGTATACATAAAGATTCTACTACTACTACTACTACTTTATGCCACCGTGTGTAGTTTTTAAAAAACCATCATCATCATCAAATGGACAATGGAATAATCTGGACTGGAACGAGAATTGGAACAGAGGACTGGGGAACGTAAAGGGGGAGGGGCAGGGATGGTGTAACACTACACGTGACGGACACGTGACGCTATAAAGCAGTCACTGCGCACCTCTCCCGGTCGCCACTCCCAAATTAAATGTCAAAACTGTAAGCAGGTAACCTTACTCAATTTAAATTTCTTCCCATCCGGCCATAACTAAATTTTATTCCCTCTCTGAATTTTTTTCGCTATTTACAATACCGTTTCCATGGTATCATTGCAACCAAGTGGTATGCGCGCGCAAGTCGTCATAGAGAGATCCAGGCACAAAGTATTCTTCTCCGAAAAAAACTTCCACCATTTTGGAAAAAAGTTAGAGAGGGTGGCCATATAAATGTACCACTTTCCCAAATATGACAAGGAGCAGAAGAGAGAAAAAGAAGAACAGATTAAAGAAAGAAAACGCACACGAAGGCGTCGACGAAAAGAAAAGATCCTCAAACCAAGCTGGAAGGAACAAACTCAACAAGCAACGTTTCCTGTTCTGGTGGAAAGATCCAAGGCAAGTCCACCACTGAGGCACAGGACAAGGATTAATTATTCTACAGAGTTTGAAGCACTGCACAGTGCTCTTGACTTTGCAGAAAATAGCGACAATGGGGAGTATTACGTTACAAGGGTAAGACCTCCAGTGCCAATCGGATCAGAGCTTTCCCATCGAACGCGCACTAGAAAGAAAAAGAAAGCGACTAAAGTCGAAGAAGAACTCTCTTACTCTTTGTATCCGTCTTATTTACAGAACCCGCCTTCAAGAAATGGAATTTCTTTAACAACAGAAGCAGCCGCCAGAAACGTGGATCCCCTTCCTGCTAGGAGAAGCATTGAGAGTATGTTAGGTTTGGATTTGACTGAAATGCAGATGCGCCTTAAGAAACCGAATAAACTTCCTCCTATAGACAAGGAAAATAGATCACAACATACAGATGAATACCCCTACATGAAGCGTTATTGACTGCTTCTTTATCGAATTCAAAAATTTTGAATTCACCTCTAATAAAAATTGACGGTCATTTTTTGAGCATCAATAAATTTTTAATCGTTGCGCTTTGGAGTAAGTTTTCTTACCTTATGTCAAATGTTTTGATTATATTAAATCGATGAGCACTTCAAGTCTTTGAATCTTTCTTATCTTTTTTAAATTCGATCGAAATAAACAATTAAACACTCATTCCTCCCCAAACCAGAACTGCAACAGCCTTACATGTCTGCTTCCTTACACGCCGGTATCAGTAAATTTTCCTACACTTAACTTAGGTTCAAAGTTAATATCCTTGAGATTTGCAAAGTTTGCATATCTTCCCGCTCTCAGGACCGGTTGCATACTTCACGCCTCTATACCGTTTCTATGGCTACTGCCTCCTGCGAGTTGTCCTGTTGAGTGAGTGAGTGAGTGAGTGAGTGAGTGAGTGTAACAACGTTCAACGCTTGGTGACGATTTCTTCGGATCGCCTCGAATGATATTTAGAGTTAGCACGTGATCACATGTTTCCTGGTGCTAATTTGTTGTTTGTTCGGAGTACTACAGAAGAAAATAAACATCTTACAATCATTTCAGAATGGTGCGTGAAAAGAAAAGCCTTACCTGGCAGAAATGTCTTAAAAGGTGTGATCAGCGCATCATGAGAACCGATGGAAATTTCTTTGAAGAGAGAGCGTTTAACCGTTTAAATAAGCGAATTATGCCCAGTAGATTCGAAGATATAATTTTTTCAGTTCATGCCGTGACACCCACTATAAATGATCTCAAAATAATTTCACAGTGGCGTGTCCGGCACGTAATAGAAAAAAAGAGTTTTCCTTGCAGTTAGAAGGTTCTACAGGAAAGTTCAAATGCAAAAAATTCAAAAAGAGGAAATACAAGGAAATGGACGGAGGAAGAAACGGAAAAGCTGATTATTTGTTGGAGAAAAATACATGCTTATGGGACGTTAGCACGAAAGAATACCATTTAAAAAACAAGAGAGAGAAAGCACTCAGTGATACGAGTGACGAACTAGACATTGAGGTAGAGGATATTAAGACAAAGATCTTTGGCCTTCGATCTCAGCTTGGCCGAGAACTTAATAAAATAAGGTCAAAGAAATTGCGGGAGATGTTATCCCATGAGCCTTTGTGAAATCTTCGGAATGCTCATCATGTTAACGGTCCGATTGTTGAGATCATTTGAACCCTAACCCGCTCAACAACACCTCAACAAACACTCAACATGTTGACAGCTTGTACAGTGAACAAATCCTGTGCATTTGCACGGAGCATTAGTTTTCAGTAGTTTAGCGTTTTAATCATAAAGTATTCCTTTCAATAGATCAATAAAGTCATTGTTTATTTTGTTTCGTGTGACAGTTTTCCTGCGTTTGACAAAGGTAACTCTTTCCCCTGTGCGGTAACATAATTCGTCACATCTTAAGGTAACTTTCATAACTTTCTTACTTCACTCTTAAAAAGAAGATTACTTTTCTAACTAAACAACTGCGCTTTTGACAACAAATTAAAGTTGATGTATCTTCATGTTAACGACGGAAAAGGTAAATTACAAAGTAAATATAATACTGTGCGTTAACAATCCAGTACTTTTACACTGAAACTACGACAGGGCGAGTCTTCCAAAAAAAGAAACCAAACAATCCCTCCTATATCCACAACATTACAATGTTTTATCTCTGAAACCGTGTGATGTTTCATGAGACTAAAGCAAAATAAATTCTACAATAAGTCATTTCCATGAGAAAACTATTATTGGTACGCCACAGGGAGCTTGAAAAATGATTCCTCATATTTTGACACCTTTTTTCTCCGCCTGAAAGAAAAATGACTTGATTTTAACTTGATTTCTACATTGCAATGAAAAACGATCCAACGTATAAATTTGGCGTCCTCTATCCTTGAAAAAGATAACTACGGCCGGTTTTGTAACTTTAGCGTTCTTCCTGTCTTTATGGACATTTCAGTGTTTTACAACTTTTAGTACTTGACAAATCCTCTCGTTCTCTGCAATGGAGGTCATGTGCATCTAGAGAACATTCAGCCTAAAGTTTCAAATTCATTATTTGTAGTCCACGTAATTCTTCTTCCGGCACAAGAAAAGCTCAAAATGCCTTTCTCTTATTGTCTAAACCACTCTTGACCCACTCTCCTCCCCTGTCCGAATTCTTTTTGTTTCCTTTTCATTTCCATTTCCCCCCCTGTGCCTCACACTACAATCTTTTAAAATACTTTTGAAAACTCAGAATTGGAGACCCTTTTGCTTGCAAAATCAGTACAATTATTTTAACAAGGCAGCGCCTTGCCCCTAAGCAGAATAGATGAACCGACCGTGCTAGCCTGGCGTTCAGTGTACTGGGTTCGAGCCCTTGTGTTGCGTCATTGATTTGATCACTTAACTCCCACACTGGGACTCTTCACACGGGAGTGAATTTGGTAAAAGGAAAATTTCAAACGCGGTGGACTTAGGTACATAATTTTAACTGTGTGTACGTGACGACAATGGCAGATGTATTCATTAAGCTTCTACCTCTACTTTCAGCCATTTCAACGCAATAAGAACCTGCAAAACAAACAAAATCCGAACAAAAAATCAAATTTCCAAAGTTTGAGAAATATCCAGGAAAATGCTAAAAACGTTGACGATTTGTTCTGATAAACTCAGTTAACGGTCATATTTTATCTCAGAAGAGGGTTTCCGTTAGATGTAATACCGAGTAAGACATCTTTTGACCAATTACGACCTCCTCTTCTGTGATTTTACTGCGAGTTTTTATTGGCTCCATCTGATATTTCTGTTTGGTAATACGAAACAAGGTGGAAATACCCCCTAAAATTTAGCAATCTTTAACTATAAAGGGTGTTTTCACTTGATATGCTAAATAGTCTACAAGAAAGGATAATATATCCCTTCTTTTCGGCGAGCAGCTAATATTCACTGACCTGTGGAACGTTCTGTTTTTCGTACAGATCTACTGTAACAAATCCATACTCCGCTTGCACACCGTACTCTCTCATAAAATCACTAAAAAACCCGATGTTTTCCATCTGCGAAGAGAATCAGAAAACTGTTTAAGAGAGTGATGAGCATGTTTGATGATGAGAGAGAACGCTATTGCAGCTGATATCAATTCAGAAGAAAATGGTTTGATGGATACATGGAGAAAATTGGTAAAATTCCTTACAAATACACCTCTTAGAACCTAACAGATATATAGAGGTATGTAGTTCGGTATATGTTCTTTGCCGCCTATGAATGAGAAAACTAGACTTATTGGGACTCGATAGAGACTGAAAAGCTGTAGACTATTGGGCCGTCGCGCTGATCAAAAAAAAAATTTGATGTTAACGCGCCGCGCGAACACGTCAATTTTTCGTGTGGCTTACACGAATTGTAAATCGCACTATGTCATGACGAATGAAATTTGTTCCTGGCTGGATGGCTGGCTTTGTCACGGTGAACAGAGTGCTTGTCACGTGGTTTACGATCGTTGAGGATAGGTTCTAGTCTTCTGCTTGGCTAAGTTACGTAAGCTTCAGAGCTTTGGTAATCGGCCATTTTGGGGCGTGTTTAAAACACGAAATGGCGAAATGGAACTAAAGACAAGAGCCAAAGTTACAAGCTATTACCGTTCCACTGAAATCTCCATCTGTTGCCGAGTTTATTCTGTGGATTAATCGCCACAAATAAAAGAAACATCTACAATTACAAATTCGCCGTCACGGACCTTTCAATAGGGACTTTAAGAAACCACGACGGCGACGCCAAGGAAGACTTCGATTAAAAAATGAATTTCTACTCTTAGTTAGAATTTTAAAAATGGCTGCTGAGCTTACTGTCTCTTACAGCGCCACAGCTCAACTTCAGCATGACGTATAAAGTAGCCGTTGAGTTCCAAATGGAAATTAAAAAAATCCGCCGTCGCGGTTTCGGTTCGCAGACGACGCAAATTTTGGCGATTTCACGTTGTTGTTTGCATAGGACGGCTAAGAAATGTACAAAGTTTCAAAACGCACGTGCTGAGCTATTGTCCTGCCAATTAGATCTCTTGTTTTTCCACGTCCTCGTTGCCGTCGCCGTCGTGGTTTCTTGAGGTCCCTGGTAATTTCGACTCCAGTTTCTGTTAACAGGGCGTAGATTCGACGCCTTGGATATTGATTTCCTCATCAAAATGGTGGCGTTGTGGGAAGAGAACGATTTGTCTATCTCGTATTTACCGTCGAGCAGCGGCTGTGACGTTATGCTTAGAGCTCCAGCAATCACATGGAATGGATGATGAAAACGGAACCCACTTCGCCATGAATTTTACACAAGATATTTGACAAATGAGTACTTTGTACGGAAACGGAGGATGTGGGATGTTTGTGTAAAATAGATGCAAGGTAAAGAGAAGACTTCTCTTTATGTGGTAGAGTACCAGGATTAAAAAAAAAAACGCTTAAATCAAGTGAAATCGGTAAAATAACGACACCAGGAGCAAACAACACAAGTATGGAATAAGGTAAGCCACTTTTATCTAATATTTTCACTTTTAACTATCTCTACGGGTATCTTGTAGAAAATCCCATACAAATCCTTATAAATCGATATGCAAATTGTGTTCCTTGCGCGGTTCTCAAAGAGAGCTTGGGCCTCCTGTGGTGAGAACATTCGAAGTAAACTCAATGATTTCTGTTATATTGTCGACACTCTTGTAACTGATTTTACCCTGGTCCCAGAGGTTCTCCTCTCTCTAAGTTGAGTTGAGTTTTTAATCGAAATATTACAACTAAACTGTTGCCCGTCCAATTTAACTCGCAGTGACTAAACGTACGCGCGGCAGCCGGACTAGTTTACAAATTACTACTGATTCGCGGCAGTCGATTATTTTCCAATATATTTCTTATATGCGAATCAATGGGTGACTTCGGTGGGAAAATTACCAATACAATCGCATTGCCCGGATAGTCGTATCCTCTGAGAGAAAGGTCATGGCAAAAGTCAGCGAGCAACTGGAAAATGATGGACTTGCCGTAACCAATTGGCAAGATGGCGAACACATCTTCACGATTAAGCAAAGCAAACAAAGCGTCGTTTTGTTCATTTGTGGGTTGATCTATCTCTGGAAAACGATTCTCCAGAATCAAAGGAGCTATAGTGTCAAAATAACTTACCGATAACACCATGTTCTGATGATAAATATACTGAAATTTGTCTTCTTTTAAAGCGTGTTTACAAGTCTCGTAGAGCAATGCGATCTTCAGGTGTGGTACTTGCCACACTCCCGTGTCTATAATATTGGCAATGCAAAAACTACCAATTTTCCGCTCCCTCACTACGATATCGAAATACTACACCTTCCCCCACATATTTTTTCACTGGCCAATCACAGGTATCGAAAAATAATAGCCAATCAGATCGCGACGATCATCAGCTGAATCCACCAGAGTGAGGTTCTCAACGGTCTCCACCAGAGGTTCTCTCGACTGCTCGCTGCTTCGCAACTCGTTGTCGGCGCTTAGCGCCGATTTTTTTAGGGAGAAACGATTTATCCTAATTTTTTTTAGAGAGATAAGAACCTCTGGGACCAGGGTACACACGCGCAACAGACTCCGCCGAAAAGTTAGGACTGCTCTTAGCCTAGAAAAGCTGTAGGGAAAGTGGCATAACCATCCTCAAGTGGGTAAAGCAACTGTTTTTTACAATTAACTTAAAGCAAATTTGCACCGACTTACCTTTTGAAACGGCATTTTCATTTTGTTGACTTTCTTTATTGAGCCAGGTTTTATCTTGTTGGCTAGTCTTCACAGATGGAAAGATAAAAAAATAAACATCAATATAACAATAAAAGTAATATGAATTTCTTTCACTTGAATTGAGAAGAGATTTTTCCTACTAGGAGCTCCCGAATTAGTAAAATATCTGTGCGAGACTCCGTGCGAGGCTCGGTCGAGGTAAAACAGCAGTCAAACGTCGGGCATGCGCGAGGGTCAATTTCGGCCGACCGGCCGCGCACCGACCCGCGCACCAATTTCCCGCGCAAACTCTAACAGGGAAACACAGACAAGTAACCTCTGTCCTGCCAAATAAGCGAAAGAATATTGAAACGTTCGTGCCTCTGTGGTTTAGATGATGTCCTCTCGCAAAATAGGAACAACACAAACAAAATACTCAGGTAGTACCTGCAAAGTATTTGACCATCGTCCAACTTCTCAGCAAATGAAGTTGGATCGCCCGAGGGTACAGATTCTTCGGTGGCCCTCTGAATCCAAGCACAGATTTCACTTGCTAATTCTTTATCCCACTTAGATGCCATCTAGTTGAAAGGTTGAGAAATATTAACAACGAAAACCGAAGTTTATGCTCTGTTCTCAGGATCACTAAAGAGTAGAAGTAGTTGAATTTTTCGCTGGAGATACGCACGGGGATTATTTTAATACCTCTTTAGTTTTGTTTCGGAAGTTTTACTGATTAGGATTAAAGGAATATATGATAATGAATAATTGAATAAAAAAAGTAGCTTTTATTCTGCTTTTCGCCAGACGTAAAATAGAGTCGACCATGCGATTATTGGTTGACAAAGAATACGCATAACCCCGTACTATTCTCAAAACAAAGCCGGGCAAGATTTCCGTATAACCCCATACTTCATTAAGCATTCAATTCTTGGATAAAGGAAAGCAGTGGCAAAACAACAGATTTCCTTTCGGACTACGGCTTTGTGTTTTGATTGGTATGGGGTTGTACGAAAATCTTTTCTAAAGTCGCAGTTCGAAAAGTAAATTACTGCTTTCGCCACAGCTTTCTTCTGTCGAAAAACCGTGTACATAATGAAGTATGGGATCGTAGCGAAACCTTGCCAACTTTTCGAGCAAATAATTGCACATGTTATTACCAACGACAAAACAATTTCGGTTTGCTTCGTATCTAGCGAAGTAAAGTTGTCGTCTTCTTATTTACACCTCCTTGAAAACCAACGTAGTAAGTAGAATTAAAGCGAATTGAGGACATTGGTCGCAATTTTTTCTCGCTAAGCGTAGGTATCTGAATTTATAAAATCATCACTGCAACACTAGATTGATACGATGCATGGCCATGAAATTTTAAAAAGCTGAGGTGTTCACGGTCTTACTAGATCGTATGAATGCTAAAAACCACACACACCGTTAAAAAAAGTTAAACTCTACCTTATTCAAGAAATGAATCCTGCGAATTCGTGGAGCGCGACTAAGTTTGATATACTGGGCGATAACATGTAATGAGCTTCTCGCATGAGTTATTTTCAACGAACCCAAAATAATTTGCATTGAATTAAAGGTCAAAGCGCAGGCCCCAACAGCTTGACAATTTAGCATCACTGAGCACGTCTTTGAT